GATGAGGCTAACGTATAGGCTTCGACTTATGTGTGAAGTGTATGTGCAAACGAGCATCTGTGGTGGCGCGGTGGCGCCCGCTATCGGCAAAAGTACCGATGACTCGATTGAGATGTCGGTGTCGCGTATGAAACGTTTGCTGTTCTTTAAAAAAACGTCATTGCGAAGACTTTTTGCGCTCGCATATTGTGAATAATTGCAAGAATGGTTCTTTCATTATTTTTCGCTTTTTTCTGTTGTTTTGGCTTATGCATATCTCTAGTTTTATGATTAGAACGATTGTTTTATGTATTGTTTTAGAGCTGTTTTGTTGAAATCATAACGTCGTAATATTCATAAAAGAATGTTGATGAATTCATCGATCTTTCTTACGTTTTTCGTAACTCAGTTCTGCTATTATAGCTATTTGCACTTATTTGCACTTACAGCATCCTCCATTACTATTTCGTAGCGTATCAATAAACATTCGTTTCAATCGCTAGTAATTGTGTATGGAATGACTGAAAGAATGATTCGTTGAATTGTAGATTGTGTCTTTAAAAAATGTCGGATACACCGAACAAAGAGCAATCCGAAGAACCAAAACCTGAGGTCAAGTTTACAATGGCTGATGACGATGAGGAAGATCATGAGCAGCCAGAGCAAGTTCCTGAGCATATAGAGACCGAACAGGTTGAGGATGAAGCTGAGGGTTAGTTCTTTCGATGTCATGAAGTAATCGTTTTTAGCTGATTAACACGGGATGTTCTTCCTTTTAATTGCTAATCTAGTGGCTGAACTAAGTCTCGTCAAGGAATTAACTTGACTGTTACAAAGCAAAATTTATCCAAAAGGAATTTCTTTGACAAATTCTTAAGTCAGCTAGCATTCCGTAGACGCTCCTTTTGATTAAAACGGGTGGTAAATTACCTCTATTGGTTACCGGTTAGGGTCTTTAAAAATCCTGCACACGTCGACAGTCCATTGAAGGGATATTTGCACAAAGCTTGCCAGTCAACACGAGTGAAACTCATTCGCTGAAAATTAAGGCAATGAGATACAAACATTGAAACTTAAAGGTAACATCGAAACAACTTTCACGAAACCGACCATCTTTTGTTTGAATATCAAAGCCGCAAATATTTTAACAATACCACTTCATATTGAGGTCACCTGAACCAGTGAACAGAAAAGTGAACAATGCATGCTTATTTTTGCATTGGATTTGGTTTTTTATATATGTGAATGAAGAGAGATTGATCTATGGGAGTCTGTCATACAAATGATAATTTAGTGGATCACTTAGTTACGTTGAAGATCATAGCATTTAGTTGAACATACAGTCGTAGTTTGATAATGTATCACTAGATCAAATGCAAAGTAGTAAGGAACCAGGAGAATAGAAGACGAAATATAAAAGAATGGAATGTTAACGCAAAAGTTTTGCATATTTCCTGTTTGAAGGAAACATTATCATATCAAATTGATTGACGTATGAGGGCCACAGAATGCATCAACAGAAATTCTATAAAATTGGATACTCACAATCAGTAGCATTGATAATCAATAAACGAAAATGGATTGTTTCAAGATTGAGAATCCTTTAATTTGTTCTTCAACGCGACCGGAATGAATTACTGTAAGGCTAGACTCGGTTGTTTTGAGTACATAGTGAAGGGGGGACTTGTCATCAAGCTGTTTTGATAAATGTCACCGAGAATTTATTAAGGTTTGCCGGGATTACGGCGTGAGGTGGTGGAATATGAGTTGTATCAACAAATTGTGCCATCATTTTGATCGATTCATTAGCACGACAATTAATACGGTCTTGAATCTAACAACCGTTCATCTCTGATAATTTGTAAAGCATCTTCAATTGAATTAACCGAAATAGTGCTATTGGCTTGCTGTATCGGATTCTATCAATCTTCAGCATTTTCTTACAGAATCGACTCAAGACATGCNCTTCGCGTAAGTGAACATCATTATCATGTGTTCTATTGCTTAAGTAGGTTTGAGAATTTGAAAGAATCTGCAATGGAGTATTTCGATGAGAAGGTTTATCATTTTGCGTTTGTTTGGATGATATTACTTCAAATTCTATCGCTGAATATGAGGGAACGGTTGGAGAGGATTGAAACCTAAAGACCATCCTTCAGTATGTTCTGCTTAACTTCAAATAAATTTCATTTTCCAAAAATTTGTGAAAGCAATCGTAAAATATTACTCGCAAAAAGCATTCAAGTAAAAGGGTTGATATGGATTAGAATGGTATACTTCAGCTGGATCTCCAAAGAAACCTCCCGGTCGTGTTCGTACCGAGTCAATTGGACAGTCGACTGATGATTTTATCGGTGATCATCGGCATCGTAAAACCGAAAAAGAAGAAGATGAAGAGCTGATCATACATCAGGCTAAAAGGACTGATACTCTAATCAGGTTTGTTTTTAAGTGCAGTCAATTTTTCGATGTAATTGCATTGGTATAAATATTATTTTGAAGAAGATGCACTGACCACAATACTGTCGTATGTGGTCTATCATATTTATTGCGCGGCAGTTTCATTCCAGTTGACTCTAACTGTGCTTAGTTATTTGAACTGAGCACAACGATTATACGCTATTAGATAGTTACGGTATTGGTCAATGTTTGTTTCCAAAGGAATACTGTTAAGAATATTTT